AAGAAGAAGAAGAAGAAGAAGAAGAAGAAGAAGAAGAAGAAGAAGAAACATGCAATTAAGCACAGCCACCATTACACCCACCATCCCTTCCTGCAATTGGGAATGTGTGTGGAAAATCCAAGAGGTGCTAGCAGGACTATAAACATTCCTAAGGTCAGAGTGCTCCCAGGAGAATCTTGGAAAAAGATTCTTCTATGTTGCTCATTTACAGATATTGGTGGACTTCACTTTGCATAAAGCAAGAAGGTGCACAAGAAGATGAGCCTGGATATGTGTAAGTGTTCTGGAGAGAGAGAGAAAAAAATGCAAGAAAAGCTTATTTTTCTTCAAGTATATGCTCCTTCCAAGGGGAAATATTGAAATATAATAAGTGGAAATAAAATGGATAAAAATGAAAACACCTCTGAAGGCAAAGGATGCAGAACAGGGAGAGGTTGTGCTTTGGAGAGAAAACCTAACAGCTGGATTTTAAAGAAAGCTTCATTTCCCTTGCCTAAATTTCTATAGGATTTTTCTAATAAGGCCAAGGGATGGCCTAAAGTCTTGTTAAAAATCAAGAACAATTTTGGAATATGGATGAAAGAAGTGGAGTGAGTAAAGCTGGGTCAGGGCTTGAGAACAAGATGAGTACTTGAGCTGGGAAAATCTCTCTGAAAACACCTGTGGAATCAAGATTGCTCAAGGATTAGCTACCCTGGTCCTTAATTTTCATGCCAAAGACAACAGGGTGGCTAAAGTGGTTGATAAGATGTTCAACTCCTTTTACTCCTCACTCAGCTACCCCCACCTTGTGGTGGCATAGCTCAAGAGAAGGGGAAGGCTACGTTGGTACCCAGAGGGACATCCAGAAGAGGATTGAGATAACGAATTCAACCCTCTCTAAAGTTGCAGAGGATTCCTCGCAGCCTCTCTATCTTTCTGAGAAAAACCCCTCACCCCCCTCCATTTCTGCTGCTCTGCAAATCATCAAGGGACTCCAAGGTCGAGGACCCTGGTGAGGGGAGAAAAGTTCTTGAAAACCTGGCCCCGGAAGCCTGACTAGATTCCTTGTAGGAGTAGTCAATTGTGTTTTCAAAGATCTTTGAATTCCGGAGATTTCCAGGCAGGATATCCCTGGGGAGCGCTTACTCGGCACTCCCCCCCCCCTCCCCGTACAGCCAGTCCCTTGGAGGTCCTTAGGCGACCTCCTCGCGAGGGTCCCTCACTTCCTTAGCCCGGCCCCGCTCCACCGAATCCTGCGCTCTTACCTAAAGTCTCCGGGCCAGGCTGAACAGGACGCTAATGGGAAGCGGACATGGACCAGGCGCCTTCCATGCGCCAAACGGAGAAGGCGTAGCTGAGGCGCTCGTGGGCCACATAGCTGCAGCTGGCCATCTTGGAGTCGAGCTCGTCACTCTGCAGAACCTGGTAGAGGAAGTCGATGTAGCGAGCGGCCAGCTTGAGGGTCTGGATCTTGCTCAGCTTGTCCGACGGCAGCGTCGGGATGATCTTGCGCAGAGCCGCGAAGGCTTCGTTCAGCGACTGCGTGCGCTGGCGCTCGCGGACGTTGGCCATCACCCGCTGCGTTTGAAGCTCCTCGTAGGACTGAGGGCTGCCGCCTCCGCTGCTGCTGCCGCCTCCGCCCGACTTCTTGCCTCTTTTGCCTTGCGCCGGACTACACGGCTCCTCTGCCGAGCCGAGACCCCCGCCGGTCACTCCGCCGCCCCCTCCGGGGCCTCCTCCGCTGACTCCTGAGGCCGCCCTACGGCTCGAGCGCCTCTTCCGTCCTCCTCGTTTGCCGGCGCCTTGAAGCTGCGGCTGCTGCGGCTGCGGCTGCTGTTGCTGTTGCTGCTGCTGGCGATCGGGCTCCTCTTCGCTGTTGCTCAAGCTGTCGTCGGCGGGCGAGACTGGAGAGTTGGACTCGTCCTGCTGCTGCTGCATCATCTCTGGGGCCAACCTGCGGCACACCGAACAGCCCTTTGGAAGGGGCGAGGGGGGCCGGGCGATGCTTACCCAGCCAGCTCCCCGCGGGTAGATCCTTGGCCTGCGAGAGTCCAGATGAGGGCGGCAGCAACGTTCAATTGGATGGGAGAGTAGAAGCCATCGGGAGCCGAAAAGAAAAGCAGCGGAGGAGGGAGAATCTCTGGCGCTGTCAGCTCCCCTCCCGAGGGCTCCTCGGAGCTGGCTGGGAGTTGGGCGAAAGTTGCAGCCTGGGAGGCTCTTATAGCTCCTGCTGGCGGAAAGTTTGGGGGCAGCGGTGTCATTGGCTTGACGTGGAGAAGGAGGGACTTTGTAGAGGCTGAGGCGAAAGTTTCCGCTTCCCCCTCCCTCCTCTCCACTGCCTTTCCCAGACCGTTAGCCAGAGAACGGAGGAAGCCCCTTCCCCAAGGCGCCGGCTGCTCTCAGAGGCTGTTACTCTTCTGCCTTCCCTTCCCCCTCCCAAACATACCAGCCTTTGAAGGGCTTAGGAGAAACGGGTTATAAGCACCCCGATTCCACCGGTTATCCTTTCCTGAGATCCTCAAACTTTTTCCTTCCGAGGCGGCCCGCTTAAATACTTCCTTAAAATCCGTCTCAGCTCCGTCTAATCGAGAGGCATTGCTTTCCATGCTATCGTCGTCTGCTGGAAGGAGGGCCGATTTATGTCACAAGATTTACTTCCGAGTCATTCCTATCTGAATGCGCGATGAGGGTCGATTTAGGGTCGTCGGAATTGGTTGCCTTCACTGGCCTCCAAGTGCGGAAGAAGATAGTGTTAGCCCTTGGGTCTGGGGTCCATTTTCAGGCAGGAGCCCCACTACTATTGGGCCAATTATGTCCACCACCAAGATTTCAAAGTCTTAGGCAAAGTTAAACTGCGATCCTAAATAAGTGCAGTTTTCCGCATCGAAATCAAGTGGTAGTTGTATGCTTTGTTTCCAAATAAGGAGCATTTGCATCGGTATATTCCAGACAACCCAGCAAGAATGGTTTAATGAAACCCCATTTCACTAATGGCCCCTAATTACAAGTAGAGTGTGAACTGGGTTTGAGGAGAAGGATTCCGCTTCTGTCAGGAGTGGATTCCAAGAATATCAAATGGGACGGTAATTTTACGTCCAGAATGTGAACTAATTCGGGGCCATGTTACATTCCAGGGAGCCTGTTTAAATGCATGCTGAATCGAGTTGATGTTGGAGTCTCACTAGATCTCCCCAGGCGCGACTTGGGGGATTAGATTCCGACGCCTCGGTCACGGCGTCCGGTTAGTCATTTAGAGGACCAGAGATGCACTTTCCAAGGATGGCCCTTCAGCCCTGCTCGCTTCCCTAAAAGCCCCAGCGCCTATTTCGGGCAGTCTGCCCAAAACGTTGATTTCACGCAGTTCTTGGACGCTGGATCAGAGGATGACTGGTTTCGTGAGCGGAGAGGGGGGAGTTAATGGGGGGAGGGGAGAAAGGAGAGAGAGGTTACGCCTTGCGGTCTGTCAGAAATCAAGATTAGAGTGCCGTCTAGCTTCATTTCTGACTTCTAAAGGCAGAGATCCCAGGTAATTATCGACAGATGCGGCGTTTATTGTAACTTCCCTTCCATTGCCCAAAAAGACAACTGCTCCTTGCTAGCCGACAAGCAAAACAAGAGGGACCGAAGATATCCTGCCGCGTTCTTGCTTCTGAACTGGGCGGGGAGATCTTTCTAAAGGTGTCCGAATAATCTATAAACTCGAGGTGGCGTTAGCATTCAGATACTGTTTGGATTGCTTCCTTCCACAGCGGAAAGACAGCGAGTTCTTCTCCAAAATAAACTGGACCAGGATCCCTCTGTTAGCCAAATAACAGCAGGGATGTGTGGTAAAAGATATTCCACTGCCGGCAGTGAAAGCTTTGCTATCTAATGGCGAGGACATCTATCTTTCCCCCCCCTCAAGTATCTTCGCTCTACCTTGTTTTATAAATAACGCTGCGCTTTGCGTTAAAGACGGAGAGCGAGGTGTGCTGAAGGTCTTTGGAAGCGGATACTTCCAGCCATCAAGCACACCCAACCTTCTCCGTCCTTCAATACATTAATACAATAACTATCACGGCATAAAATTTAAACAAAATTGCTCTGTTTTGTTCTGCTTTATTGTTTTCCTTTCTTCCTAACACTTCAAACCTTTTCGTCTGCAAAGTGCAGAGATTGGGGAGAAAGTGTGTCGCTTAAAAAGAAAATCCAGGGAGTTTAAAAGATTTCGTTGGTTTCCCAAGAACTGCCCGCTGGATGATCAGAACTAAAAGCGCAGTTCTAGCCGCGCCTCTGCCCAGAGGCCGCTACTGTCGCTTTTGCAAATCAATCAATCAGGCGAGACCGAAGGAGCGAGGTGAGGTTTCAGAGTAACCGCGGTGCAGTCTCGAGACTGAGTAAAATCCACGTGGCCCGCACGTCTTCAAAGGCGAAGAGAACTTTTCTGGCGGCTGGATCCGCGTTGGGGGAAGAGTGGCCCGTCACCCTCCAAATGATGCTTTTGGATCAAAGTCATTTTTAAACCGTCCAAAAAGATCCAAGCGAACGTCTTAATCTAGACTTAATCTAATTCAAAGGTTGGATTTAGTAATGGAGGGAGAGGTTCTCTCCGCGTGTCTTCCTTTAAGTTAAGGCAGACAGCACGTCTAGGGGGCAGCAGGTTGAAGAAAACCTGTTTAGGCCAAGCTGAAGATAGTTCGACAAAATTTTATTCGTTTTTTTTTTTTAAATAAAAACTCAGCGTTGGGAAAGAGAAATGCAAAGTGCAGAATTTAAACGTCTTTGTCCTCCTTCCCCCTCGCTTTAAACCTGTCCTAAAACTCAAGCCGAGCTTTCCTCACACTGGTTCCGGCAGTACCATTATCTCTTCAGCCTCGTTTCATTTCCAAAATGATGATTATTATTATACCCAGGAGATCTAAACTCAGAAGACCCTTATTCTCTTCAGATGTTCCCCAAAACCTTATAAAAGAAGGACTTCTGACCTGAGAAAGGGAAGTCCCCAGCGAAATGCCTCTGATGGCACCTACTTTCTGGAATCTTATCAGCTCTGTAGGAGTTACCATCAGAGTCCTTCTGAATAGCAAGATGGGCTAATATAAATAGGTAGGTAGGTAGGTAAGTAGAGATAGATAGACAGACAGACAGACAGATATATAGACAGACAAATAAACCAATTAATCAGTCAAAGGGCCTTTTGCATGATCAGAAAACGACCTGGTCTTACAAGGGGCTGGAGAAGACGGGACAGACATGGAGGCACATATATAACTTGCTTGCTCAAACTTTTTGCATAGTAATTTTCTTATCGGCCTCACAACAATTCTGTGAGGTAAATTATGCTGAATCAATAAATGACCAAAAGGGATTCAGTTAGGGATTGTTTTAAGAAAGGACTGTTCAGTTCACAAATCCTGCTATTTCTTGAATGTCACTGTGGCTTACATAGCATAACAGGAGTTTATAGTGATTCAAACTCTTCATGCTTGATTTGCTAGCCAGGAAGAGGCCAGGAACCTTTGATGTCCTTAATTCTCTCACTGAGTTAAGGACCAAGTCTTCTTTAAGTGAATAATATACCTTGATAATCTGGAACTTTTGCTTATATCTTCCCTCATTCCAAAATAGTTTCTTAAAGAATAATCAGCGTTTATCTTCCAGGTCCATGCAAGCATTGGAAAGCTGTGGGAAAACCCTGAAAATGAACTGATTTTGCTCTAGGAGGCTACTCAAAATTTGCCAACAAATTTGATTTCCTTCTTGGCGTCTCTAGTCAAGGGGTTTAAAGTGCACCAGAGTTGTTGCTTTCCCAAATTTTACCCCTCCCTTTCAGCCAAAGTGATTGCATTATCACTTCTGATCTAACAGCACCACCCCCACAAAATGCATCAGATGGAGCTTTTAATAAGCTACAGATAAGACGCTGGAAGAAAAGGCATAAACACAAGCCCTTCAAGTGCTGCCAATGAATATTTAGTGGATAATTTTTAAAAACGGGTGGGGAAGCAACAAGGATTTTGCTTTCCTGATTATCAAGGAAATATATATTTTACATACTGTTTAGAGGGTTTTTCCAATATATCATTTTCCTAACCCAGCTTTTAAAGGACTATTGGTAAATAAATCAATTAAACAAACAAACCCTTATGTTTTCAACACTGGGCAAGCTATGAAAAAAGGATTCTGCTCTGATCTACTGCAGCCTGAATTAAAAATACTAGCCTAAAATCAGAAAGTTGAACTGTCTTTTATCAGACAGTGGTGTCTATAGGGTATTGGTCAAAGAATAAAAATGACAGCAGCAACAGTGAGATCGGTCTGCTTTATGTTTGTGTTATGATCACACAATCAAGGCTGCCATTTTTTTTTACTACACCCCACAGGCACCTCTAATACCAATCTAGAGATTAGAATAGAGCATTCTGCTCATTCAAAATTCAGCCAGGTGCATATTAAATAAAGATGAGTGACTAATCCAACACAGAGAACCATGTATTCGAAGATAAGACATCTAGTATGATTGCATTATCACTTCTGATCTAACAGCACCACCCCCACAATATTAGAGATTATAATAAATAGACATCATGGTTAGTAGCTAAGGGACTTTGCCCACGGCTGACTAGATCTGCAGAAAATATCTTGGCCATAAAATTGGTTTTTCTTAGTGTCCATTCCTATCCCAAGTTTCCAGTCACCAAACTTTCCTCCAAGGTACCAAGTGATACATTCTATACACCTTGAGGTATTTTAAGAAAAAAAAAGATATTACTTTAACATCAGTACAATTGTGGATCAAAGCTGGTGGCTGGTGGACTAAAAGTTGATAGGAAACTAATGACATGAGAACTTGGGAAGAAAGAAAAGATGGCCAAAGTTGGTGCCATGTAGTGCCATGTAGTGGAAGAGGATTCCCTCCCCCCCCCCCCCCCATGAGTATGTTTAAAGCTACCACAACATTTTGGAATAGCAGATAAAAAAGAGAAAGAAAGAGTGGGGGAGGGAGAGAGAAAAAGAGGAATGAAAAAAAATATTTTGCATTTATCTTGATCTGGAACTCTTTAGCAGCAGGGACATCCCCTGCTTTAAGAATTCTCAAATTCTCAAATATTTATTTGATAAATGAATAAATAAGTACATTATGGACAGAAGGATAAGGAGCCATG